TACACAAAGTTTGTCAGTTGCCGTGTAAGAGTGTGGCTGTGTGGGTGTGACACTGCAAGTGTGTGTGAGTGTGTGTGTGGTAAACAATTATGGTTTATAATTTAATGAATAATAAAAATGAATAAAATAGAAAATGGTAAATCAATGGGAATTTCTGTGAAACCTTTTGGAAGTTAGATGACATTGTTGGAAATGGGATAACTTTAATTGAGAGAGAGAGAGAGAGAGAGAGAGAGATTAATTACCAGGTGTTGTGCCTGGAGTCTTGGAAGTGACCAAAAGTGGGACAAATTACAAAAGAAAAGCTGCGTTAGGTTTCAAGGATTTGATTTGTGGACAAAGATAGAATAGCATACAGTATTTTCTAAAAAGAACACCTTCAAGAAAACCTTCAGGTCGTCTATAGGAAGACTTGTAGGTATTCTATAAGAAGACCTTCGGTCTTCTATAAAGGCGACCTTCAGGTCCTCTTTAAAAAAAACCTTCAGGTCTTCTATAAGAAGACCTCCAGGTCTTCTATAAAGGAGACCTCCAGGCCTTCTATGAGAAGACCCATAGGCCTTCTATGAGAAGACCCCTATGAGAAGACCCATAGGCCTTCTATGAGAAGACCCATAGGCTATCTATGAAAAGACCCATAGGCCTTCTATGAGAAGACCCATAGGCCTTCTATGAGAAGACCTCCAGGCCTTCTATGAGAAGACCTCCAGGCCTTCTATGAGAAGACCTCCAGGTCTTCTATGAGAAGACCTCCAGGTCTTCTATGAGAAGACATCCAGGTCTTCTATGAGAAGACCTCCAAATCTTCTATGAGAAGACCTTCTGGTCTTCTATGAGAAGACCTTCCATTAGAAGACCTTCTGGACTTCTATGAGCAGACCTTCTGGTCATCTATAAAGAAGACCTTCAGGTCTTTTATAAAGAAGACCTACAGGTCTTCTATGAGAAGTCCTTCTGCTCTTCTGTGAGAAGAGCTTCTGCTCTTCTGTGAGAAGAGCTTCTGCTCTTCTGTGAGAAGAGCTTCTGCTCTTCTGTGAGAAGAGCTTCTGCTCTTCTGTGAGAAGAGCTTCTGCTCTTCTGTGAGAAGAGCATCTGCTCTTCTGTGAGAAGAGCTTCTGCTCTTCTGTGAGAAGAGCTTCTGCTCCTCTGTGAGAAGAGCTTCTGCTCTTCTGTGAGATGGCCTTCTTGTCTTCTATGAGAAGACCTTCTGGTCTTCTATGAGAAAACCTTCTGGTCTTCTGTGAGAAGACCTTCTGGTCTTCTATGAGAAGACCTTCTGGTCTTCTATGAGAAGACCGTCTGGCCTTCTATACGAAGACCTTCTGGTCTTCTATGAGAAGACCTTCTGGTCTTCTATGAGAAGTGCTTCTGCTCTTCTATGAGAAGTGCTTCTGCTCTTCTATGAGAAGTGCTTCTGCTCATCTATGAAAAGAGCTTCTGCTCTTCTATGAGAAGTGCTTCTGCTCTTCTATGAGAAGTGCTTCTGCTCTTCTAGAGGAAGAGCTTCTGCTCCTCTAAAAGAAGAGCTTCTGCTCTTCTATAAGAAGAGCCATAATGAGAAGAGCCATAATGAGAAGAGCCATATGAGAAGACCTTCTGGTTTCTATGAGGAGACCTTCTGGTTTTCTATTAGAAGACCTTCTGGTCTTCTGTTAGAAGACCTTCTGGTCTTCTATGAGAAGACCTTCTGGTCTTCTATTAGAAGACCTTCTGGTCTTCTATGAGAAGATCTTCTGATCTTCTATGAGAGAACCTTCTATTCTTCCAGGTCTTCTATAAGAAGACCTTCTGATTTTAAATATTCTGGTCTGTGGAGTAGGTCCCCCTTCCTCTCGCATATGCAAATAGCTCCCAGGACAATTGCATGCAAAGCATTATAATATGGCGCCATTTAGTTTTATAGCCGCAACAAAATGCTTAGTTGAAGCTTAGCACATGCATGACGGATGAACGGTGGGATGGTATGGTATGATATGACTGGGTGGGAGTTTGATGGATCTTTTCAAAACGACATTGGTGGCAGTTGGGTTGTCTGATTTAATGTCTGCACGCAATATATTACCTGAAAAAAAAATACGAAGTAAAAGAAGACAGGAGTCACGAAATACGTGCATCGTAGAAAAGCTTTGGTTGTTAAAAATGTTTAAATATTTTTGTTGTTGTTTGTTGTTGTTTTTTTTTCAAATATTATAATTAAAAGTATGTGGTGGGAAGAAAGTTGTGGTGTGGGGGGGGTCTCCTACAAACTACAAATGACAATTATGGCCACACACAAAATAGGAGGTCCGCCTATTTCGGATAATTGTTTAGGAGTCATATCGCCCATGTGATATTGTTGTTGGTGTATGTATAATTACCGTTATTATATAGTTGTTGGCCATAGTCTGTCAAACAACGTTTGTATGTCCAACAAATCAAGCATCTGTTCATTAATTTTTCCAGAGAGAGAGAGAGAGAGAAAGGGAGGGAGAGAGGGAGATAACATGGCCCGGTAATTGTAGTTTGTTGTCATTTGTTATTGAATATCCTGTGGCCATTTACTTTTTTAGTTTGTCCTTTTTTGTTTTTGTTTTTTTTTTCTTTTTGGTACGATATTTAGTTGTAGATTTGTCGTTGTTCTGTGGCTTAATTATTTATAATTATTGCTACTGTTGTTGTTGTAGTTTTTCTCCTTCAACCTCCGACTTGTTCAAAAATATTTGTTTGCTGTAATGTTTTCAGCCATGACCAGTGGCAATTATAAGGAAAATTAGACGGCTCGTGGTGATTTTTTTTTCACTAATGACGCATGCCATGGCATAGGGTTTTGTTTGGTTCTCCTCGTTTTGGAACACATGTCGACACAAATTGCACTTAATTGAGGAATAATTAATTTCAGGCTTTATTTTCATCGGGTAGGAGAAAAAAGTTGATTGACCTTCCTGGATGGAGTGTCCTGTAAGGGGAAACATGCGCTTAGGTGACAGAAGATAAGGCGCAATTGTCACTGTCTGCAAGGACGCAATTCAACCTAAATATTTGGGCCAAGTTTTCGATTTTGAGGGATTCAGAGTTCTCAGAAAGTAAAATTTTTAGAATTGCTCTGATTAAATCGTAGATTTTTCCCTATTTTTTCTAGAAAATTACACTTACAGGACGAGATAAAAAAACTGAACCAAAGTCAAACGCCATAATTTTTATTTATTTTTTTTTTTTTGTAAATTTTGCTGGATGACAGCAAAAAGTGTCGGAAATAGCTTCAAATTTTAAAATTAGTTCAGATTTGTTCGAATTGGTCACCTTTGGCGCAATATGGCCTAACTGCCAATGAAAACGTCACACGCTGCTCGAATGTTGCTCTGCGGTATTTTTTTTCGACAAATCGAGATGAGGTGCCAGACGATAAGGCGTAATTGTCACTGTCTGCAAGGACGAAATTCAACCTAAATATTTAGACCAAGTTTTCGATTTGGAGGGATTGAGAGATTCTGGGACAGAAGAGGTCCCGGAATGTTAAATTTTTAGAATTGCTCTGATTAAATTGCCGATTTTTTTCCTATTTCTTCTTGAAAATGACACTTGCAGGGCGAGATAGAAAAAAAAAACTGCAACAAAGTTATTTTTATTTATTTCTATTTTAAATTTTGTTGAATGACAGCAAAAAGTGTCGGAAATAGCTTCAAATTTAAAAATAAGTTCAGATTTGTTCGAATTGGTCACCTTTGTTGCTCTGCGGTTTTTTGGCCCATTCCCGGCGAAGCGCTTGCTTGAGGTGATCGACAAATCGAGATGAGGTACCAGACGTTAAGGCATAATTGTCACTGTCTGGAAGGACGAAATTCAACCTAAGTTTTAGATTTTAAGGGATTGAGAAATTCTGGGACAGAAGAGGTCCCAGAATTTGGTTTGCAGGTTTTTCATCTCACCCCACATAGTTTAAAATTTAAATTAGACCTTGGGTTCTCCTCTGTTTTGTGTCACAAAACTCTATCTGAAGATCAGCTTCAATTTTTTTTAAGTACCGAAAAATTTGGAAAAATCAAAAAATGAAATATTTTTTTTAAAGTTTTGATAAAAAATAAAATAAATGATAGATTTTTAGAATTGGCAAATACTCCCGATTTCCCAGAAATTAATTTATGAATTTTGCCATTTTACATAGAATTTTTCGTATAAGTATTTTGTAAATTTAAAATATTTTCCTCAAAAAAAAAAAAAAAAAAATTAGATAAATAAAATAAATAAATGAAAAAAAGTGAATCATCCATTTTCTCTCCTGTTTTTGGGGGTATTTCATTTCAAATAAAGTTTAATTGAAATTAAATTTTCAAAATGACTTTGAAATATATTAACATCAGCAGCAGCTCATGTTTCTCACTTAACATGGAACCCCTTAAACTAACAAAAAATTTATTTGTCTGCCATTTCCCCTGAGGGTTCAAAGTGAAATGACTAAGAGCCCCAGCAGAGGCAGCAGTGGCGGGCACTTTTTTTGGTAATGTGAGACCACAACAACAAAAACAAAATTGAAACTAAGGATGTACTAAATTAAAGCAAAAAAAAAAACTATAAAAAAGGGATTGAATTGTTTAGAATTACGAGAAATTATTCAAAACTTCAACGAACTTTGAGTTTCAAAAAAAAAAAAAAAAAAAATTAAAATTATTGTCGTCCCTCTGTTTGTCATTTGTCTTTGTCTCTTTGTGTGACAGCGAGACCGAACGTAATGGATAAATTTGAATGTCATAGAACATATGTTCAAATTAGCCAAGTCTCAAATTACCAACACTCAATGCAATTCTAAGGCCTAGCGGCAAGAAGAATCAAAGGCAACGGGGGAAAAAATTAAAACTTCCTTTCAATGCCATTGAGAATTATTGAATCAGGAGGAGGTGGAGGAGCTTCATTTCCTCTTGTATAAATTTAAATTTTAAGCCATGAATATTTATATCTTAAGTATTGTAATTTACATTGTAATTAATTTGTGTTTCTTCTTTCGTTTTTTTTTTTTTTTTTTGCAGAGGGCATTGTTTCCTATAGCATACCCAAGGGCGTTCAACGCGGCATGGAAGTCGATTTGTCGGACAAAACCTATGATGGCACCGAACAGGGTGATCGCTATGTCGATGGCCTGGGCCAATTGGTTGATGGCCAAAAGGGCAAGGATAATTTTCGCACCGATATCCATGGATTTGGCAAAGGTATGTATGGGACTAATTAATGGAAAATATTTTAAAAAAATATTTAGCAATAAATACCAAAAAAATAAATAAATAAATATAAATAAGAATTATAATAATATTTAAAATAAATATAAAATAAAAAATATTGCAATGATAACAGTAATAGAAGCAAAAAATATATAGCTATAAAAACCTAAACAAACAAATATATAAAATAATATTTATATAATAATAATAATAATAATAATAATAATAATAATAATAATAATAAATAATAATAATAATAATAATAATAATAATAAAAATAATAATAATAATAATAATATAATAATAATAATAATAATAATAATAATAATAATAAAATAATAATAATAATAAAAATAATAATAATAATAATAATAATAATAAAAATAATAATAATAATAATAATAATAATATAATAATAATAATAATAATAATAATAATAATAATAACAATAATAAAATAATAAATAATAATAATAATAATAATAATAATAATACTAATAATAAATAATAATAATAATAATAATAATAATAATAATAATAATAAGAATAATAATAATAATAATAATAATAATATAATAATAATAATAATAATAATACAATAATAATACTAATAATAAAAATAAAATAATAATAATAATAAGAATAATAATAATAATAATAATAATAATAATAATAATAATAATAATAATAATAATAATAATAATAATAATAATAATAATAATAATAATAATAATAATAATAATAATAATAATATAATAACAATAATAATACTAATAATAATAAAATAAAAATAATAATAATAATAATAATAATAATAATAATAATAATAATAATAATAATAATAATAATAATAATAATAATAATAATAATAATAATAATAATAATAATAATAATACAAATAATAATAATACAAATAATAATAATAAATAATAATAGTAATAATATATAATAATAATATAATAATAATAATAATAATAATAATAATAATAATAATAATAATAATAATAATAATAATAATATAATAATAATAATAATAATAATAATAAAATAGTAATAACAATAATAATAAAAATAATAATAATAATAATAATAAAAATAATAATAATAATAATAATAATAATAATAATAATAATAATAATACAAATAATAATAATACAAATAATAATAATAATAATAATAATAGTAATAATAATATACTAATAATAATAATAATAATAATAATAATAATAATAATAATAATAATAATAATAATAATAATAATAATAATAATAATAATAATAATAATAATAATAATAATAATAATAATAATAAAAATAGTAATAACAATAATAATAAAAATAATAATAATAATAATAATAAAAATAATAATAATAATAATAATAATAATAATAATAATAATAATAATAATAATAATAAAAATAAAAATAATAATAATAATAACAATAATAATTATAATAATAAAAATAAAAATAATTATTATTTTTATTATTATATATATATATATATATTTTTTTTTTTTTTTTTTTTTTTCTTTTCTTAATATCATTTTAAGCCTTCAGCTTTTATCCTTGCTACCCTATCGCATGCCACAACTTTCAAGGTTTCCTCTCATTTTTCCTCCATTTACAACATTTCCATTGAATTTGTGACAATTTTTCGATTTGAGTTTTTTTTCCCTTTTCTAGCCCTTTTGGCAATTTAGATATTATCTATGGCAATTTTTTTCGCAAATCATGATTTTGCATGTTAAACAGATTTGTTGACTTTGTCCTTGTCACAAAAATGACAAAATGGTAATAAACTTTTTTTTTGCTCTTGCCGTTGTGTTCCTAATTGATATGATTAATGGCATATGATTGTCATGAAAATAAACAGAAAAAGTTTTGGGTTAGTTTATGATAAACAAAAATGTTAAATGTCCCAAAATTAAGGATATAATGCGATATAAAAGCGTATTTTAGTATAGTTTCACATTACATTGGTAATCACAGAATTTAGTGTTATTTTGCGTAGTAATGGATTGGAGAAAATTTGACGATATTCGGAACGATTTGGTACTGAAATATATTTTTGGAAAATTCACAAATTCTATTTATATTTCTAAATATATTTTTTAAGACACCGAGCGAAAAATGTCAATTTGTTAAAAAAAAATACGAAGAAAATTCTGCAGATTGTGAAGGTAGAGCTAAAAAATATATTCAAAATATATAAAGGCCTTAAGAAAGGTTGACCTAAGGACCCGAAGTTTCTTTTGCGTGTTAATTGTGAAATCCATGAAAAAGTTTACCGCGTTGGGCGCCATTTTCTATAGGTAGATTTTTTCGAAGGTTGTCAATTTTGACTTTTCATTCTAGACATGCTGTAGTGCACGTTAGTAGAATTTTATAACAAATAATTTTCTAGAACATTTTAGGAGGCTACGATTCCGTTTGATGGGAATTTTTTAAACATTTTTTGAAAAAGTACCAAAATGACCCCTGAGGGTTAGAAACTTCCACCCAATAATCTTCGGGCCTTTATCTGCAATATCGGCGAAAAAAAACTATATACATACAATATAAGGATTCCAAGGAATCTTAATCCCAAAATTTTCAAAGTTAAAGAGAGAGATAGAGAGAGGAGAGAGAAAGGGTGGGAGGCTTGCCTTCTCTATGCTGGTTAATTTGCTATGCAATTTTTCCAAACGCCGATACACGTGTCTTCTATTTTCGGCTCTACTTTCATAATCTGCTGGATTTTTCCTGAAATTATTTAAAAAATTAAATTTTGTCGCACAGTGTAATTTAGGAATTATATTTATCAAAATCTTTCCCTTAGTACAAAATATCGGGAAAAACTAAAAATTTGAATTTTTTTAAATAATTTTTAAAAAATTAATATAATTATATATCCATTTTATTTTGGAATTATTATCCTTGCAAATCCCTTAAAATTTAAAAATCGGTTCTCATTTTGAATCTTTTCCAAATAAATATCTTTAAAAATAAAATGTAATCTCCTCCTCCCCTCGCCACGTTGTTTTTTTTAATATTTATTTCCCTGCAAATAAATAACCCAGCAAATCAATGTCGAAAAATCCAGACACACATCCAGACTAATTTCTACAGCTCCAACCAGATCGACAACAAGGATACAATTTATCCTTGTTGTATAAATAAGCAAATGACTATTTGGGGGAAAAAAACTTTGATTCCCATGTACTCAGAATATTCAATGAAAACGAATGAAGTAAGTGGCAGCAATTCGGGATAACAACATTGAAATGAAAGGAGTCAAATTGTGGCTGAGAGAGAGAGAGAAGGAGAGTGGGGAAGAAAGAGAGGGCAGCAAAAACTTTTCTACTTAAAATGTAAAGTTTACAATAATTTTTGATTATTGGCACAATGCCAAATGAAATCGATGAAGTTTTGCTCGACAAGTTCTGTGAGGCTTCTCCCCTCCTCTCTCCCTGGTCTTCCTCTCTTGCATTAGTGTTTGCTGGCAAATAAACATTGAACATTCGTTGCTTCCTGTTTGCCATGGGCCTGACCTCATCTTCCTGTGGGAGGGGGGTGGCAGAGGAACCCTTTCCCCAGAGTGCCCAATATAAACTCTGAGGAATACAAAACGAAATGGAAATCATGCTACAAAACTTACACGCATACAACAACAATTTACTTTGCTCTCCTCTCCTCTCCTTACACTCTCGTTTTTTTTTATTTCCTGCTCCATAGGGAAATTTACAAACCACTTTTTTGTTGTAGCTTTTTTGGGGGTGGAGGGGGTAGGCGGAAGTTAGTCGATTTGTATGGTTAGGTAATTCTAGACTGCCGAGGCTATAACCTTCTCGACGCTTGGAAGTTTCTTGCGAATTGAATGCCAGTGTTGCCATAAATTATTTTGGTTTGGCAAAAACAAAGGAGCAGGAGGAGGAAAAAGCAACACCATGCCCACTATTTATGGGATGGCTGTGCAGTCAGACACATGGACATTAAAGCTAAATATTTGCAGCATGTCTGTCGTTTAGCATTTGCTTTATGGATTGTCTGCATGCATATTTGTGGCCCTGTGCGATTCAGCCAAAACAAAAGGAATAATTGAATTGGGGATAGGGAGAGAAGTTTTTTATTTTTTTTCAAAAACCAAAAGAACTTCATTTTGGTTATTGTTCATATTTTGGCTCGATAGGGAACCCAACCAACTCACCCAAACAGTCTTCCGATCCTCCACTAAAAAAGTATTTATAACATTTTTGTCTGTTTGTCAGTGTTTATTGATGAGGAAATTATTTATTTTCCTTTTTCCATTCATTCGTCTGCCCCGGCTTCGCCTTTCCATCTTCTTGTTGGGAAACTTTTTTAATTTCCCCCCAGTTTTTTTTTGTCCGACAACGTAAATATTTTGTGTCTTGATTGTGATTTTGCCAAATAAACAACTGAAATATTATGCGAAAAGTAGACAGATGACAGGGCGTAAAAACATTTGCCAAGGATCCCAAGGACAAAGTATGGAATTAGAAGAAGAACAGGGGGACTATTGGGCTGGTTAGGCATTTTTGTCACATAAATGTCTGTTCATAAAAAAAGGCATAATGGCAGATTTTCGTTAACGCAATGGTAAGGGGTTATTGGTGGAATTGTGAAAATGAGAAGTTCGTTAAAATTTTTAACATTTAAGGCCTTTTTATTTTAAATAAGGGAAATTTAAAATGACAGGCAAGCGGGAAAACGTTTTTGTATTGGAAATAATGACTGATGAGAGATATATTCCCTCTTTTTTCTTTCCTGAGGACCATTCGCGCAAAAAACTGAAGTTCTTTGCCTCAAGATATTTAAAATGATCAGAGAGGTTTCAAATTAAATTTCTACCTCAAATTTTTAAATTTTTAGAATTTTTTTTTCGTTAGCACAATGGTAAGTCGTTATTGGTGGGACACTGAAAATGGGAAATTCGTTAAATTTTTAAATTTTAAGGCCTTGGATGGAAATTTAAGTTTTATTTCAAATCAGGGAGATTTAAAATGATGTAAAAGGAGAAAAGGTTTTTGTGAAGGAAGTACAGAATTAGGAGAGAAATAATCTCTTCATCTTTCCTGAGGATCATTTTCGCAAAAAAATTAAGTTATTTGCCCCAAGATATTTAAATTGACCAAAGAGATTTGATATGAATTTCCAAACTAAAATTTTAAAATTTAAGAAAAAATAATTTAAAGAGCTAAAACAAATTTTTAAGAAAATTAAAATAAATAATCATTACTGATTTTTTAATTTTATTTTGAAGGGATTTAGTATGAGGACCCTCTTTTTTGTAAGAAATGAATGTTTTTTTTTTTTCAAATAATTTATGAATTTGAATTTTTTAATGATGACAGTTATTGAAAATATCTAATATCGGTCAACATTTTAAAGGAATTAGCCACAGTTTCCAACCAAATTAATATTTAATTTAAAATATTCCGGTTTGCGAGAAATGTATACCTCATTGACCAATTTTCTCCAAAAAAAATTAAACAGGTTCATATAGCCACTTATTAGAGCCTATAAACCCTTCGTGAAGAAAATTTTCCACCTTTCAGGTTCTTTACTTCAGTTGGAAAGAGTTTCGAAGACATTTTATTTTATTGATATTTTAGGAGAGAGGAAAAAAAGAGAATATCCATTTATTACTCAGACAAAAGCTTGAGTTTGAAGATACCCATGGCATTTCGAGTATAAAATGTTGAAATATTTAAATTTTATATATATTTATATTTATTTAAAAATTGAAGTAAAATGCCCAAAGTACCCATGTCTCATCGAAACATGGGAGGAAATTTCTGAACATTTTTGAAAAATATTCTTAAAAAAAATCAATTTCGTTCATTGATCCACAAAAAAAAATAATATTCTTGGTTCTTGAAAAAATATTCTTGGTCCTTGTTATTGTTTAAAAAATCAACAAATCTGTAGGTTATTCAAAAAAAAAAACAATTTTTAAGGATTTAAAATTAGCTCTCATATCCAAACATAAATTGAAACTTTTGCCTATTTTTCACAAAATATTCTTAAAAAAATCACGTTGGCCCTTAAAAAATCGTTTATTTGTTCCTTGAAAAAAAATGTCTAAAAATTCCACGCCTCTGTTCGTTCTTCTAAAATACAACGGCACTTGACAATTTTTAAGGATTTGAAAGTCTCTCTCACAATTTTTCTCAAAATGGGTGGTTTTTTTGACTGGATAGAGTTCCAGAATCTACCATCACATTATTTTTTATTTCCTAATAGCATTTCCTTTTATTTTATGGGTAAGCTGAAGGATAATAAGCCTCAATAGGCGAGCGATAGGTCTTCGAGTCCCCATAGGCGAGCTGATGGATAAATGAGTGTCCATAGGTGAGCTGATTGCTCAGGGAGTCCTCAAAGGCGAGAGCTTATAGAACTTTAGCTTTGGCCCTTTTTAAAATTGATCAGTATTCTTTAAAAAAATCAAAATCAAGGCTCTACTGATCCTGAAAATAGTATATACTTTGGTCCTTGGCATCGTCAGTAAATCCTTAATTATTTTTTGTCTCTATTTGGTATTGCATCTCCACGATTATATCCCTTTATGACCTATGAAAAAAAAAAAACTTAAAACTGTCTACTACTACTGTTGGAGCTTTAAAAAAGTAGTCCTCGTAAAATTCTTTAAAAATTTGCTACTTCAGATCCTTAAAAAAAGCTTTCATAAAATACGTGATTACTGATTACAAAATTACTAATCAAATTATCCTTGAAAACAGTCCTTAAAAATCAACGATTTCAAGAATTGAAAAAAATTAAAAATATCCGAAATTACATCTGTATTGGTACTTAAAAAAAAAAAAATGATTGCGGATCAATTGGATTTTTCAAAACAATTTATTAACAGACCTTGTCAAAAAAAGAAACATTAAACCATTATTCCTTCTCGAAAATATAATTAAAATTCCACGCATATTGTCCTTTTCAAATTCCAGAATAAATTGGTCCTACAAAGAATCTACCATTTTTGGTTCTTCGAAAAATCGACCATTTTTCAAAAAAAAAAAAAAAAAAAAAACACGTTCAAAATCCACCATTAATTGTTCCCTGAAAAAAATCCTATTTAATTCCAAATCAATTATTTTTTTTGTCCTTATTTTTTTTTAAATCCATCGATTATTGGTCCTTGGAAAAAAATCCTAAGAAAAGTATACTATTTTTGATCCTTCGAAAAAGATTTTTCTCTTTGGTAAAATTCTGTAAAGAATCCAATGTGATTGGTCCTTAGAAAAAGGCTTTAAAAGTATACGATTTTTGGTCCTTAAAAACACGATTTCTAGTCCTTGAAAAAGAAAACCATAAACAAAAAATCCCTGATTACTGGTCCCAGAAATAAATTCTAAAATAGGGTCTTCCAAAAAAAAAAACATAAAAATCCACGATTATTGGTCCATGAATATTTTGTTTATCATCGAATATTGATTATTTTGTAAAATCCGCGATTATTAATCCCTGAATTTCTAATATCAAGGATCAGTGTTTTTTTTTTTATAAAAATCCACTATTTTTTATGAATTTTTCTCTATTTTTTTTAAAGGATCCTTAAATATATATAGTTTTTAAACCCCCTAGTACTTAATTTTCTCAAAATTAAATAATCCCAATTTTTTTAACATCTACGATTATTTGTCTTTGAATTTCTAATAATAAGGATCATTGATTTTTGTATAATAAAAAAATCCATTATTTTGAAGTCATGAATTTTTCCTCTACTTTTATTTTATTTATTTATTTTTTTGATTGGCTCTTAAAAAATATATATTTTTTAAGCACTCTTCTTTTTAATTTTCCCAAAATTTAATAAATCATTCCACGTCGCCGAACATTGCAAAATATGTTTCGGACAATTTCTAGAAAATTTATTACTTAATAATTAATTTTTTTGGGAGGTCCTTCTTTAACTTTCCCCACAATTTAAGTACAAAACATATTTTTTTTTTAAACACAAAAACAAAACCCTTTCAAAAGGAGGCATGACAGAGAAAGTGGAGGGTGGGGGGACAACTTTAGTTAAAATATTTCAGCAAACAATTACGGCTCTTAACCTGGCCAAGAACCAACCAAAAAATTCATATAATTGCTATATAATGGCAATGCAGTGGCCAAGGCAAGAAATTCGTGGGTATGGGTATGTAAGTGTGTGTGTAACTTAGGTAAATGGTTCAATTTGTCAACCTTATAACTTTTCGGCTATCACTCTCTCTCTCTCACCATTCCCCTTCACCCAAAATGTGGAGACTTAAATAAAAATCACTAAGGACCCCTAGTTGGACGAGAAATTATTAAAGCATAGGTTAGGCCTTGTAGCAAATTGAAAAAGGGGAGGGGGGTTTTGGTAAGCAAAGAAGCTGGTATCAGAAGACGACGAAAAAAGGTTGAAATGTCGCGTTCTTAAGGTAATAATTTTTGTTGGCGCTTTTGTTTTTACCCTCCAACCAAAAAGAACAATAACGACAACAGCATGACAACACTACCAACTGAAGGTTATACGAAATTTCCCCCTCCCCCAGGCCAAGTAGTGCAATGTAAATAATACAAAAACAACAACAACAGCAACAACTATGCTAAAGACATAAATTTTCCTAGACCCAGCTCTAGGGTCACAGAGTAACTTTGGCCTGCCTATGTATGGCTTTCAATACGACATTGTCGTCGTAATAATTTGTGTGCGTGTTGGAGAGTGTACCCGTGTCACCGTGTGTGTATGTGTGCGTGTGTATCACAATTTCTGTGTCGTTTTACAAGGATAAAGGAATTCTTTAAACAATCATCACATATACACACCCACATAGAATGGGGGTATATGTGTGTGCGGGTTTTTTGTATTTTTACTGCTGGTGCGTGTTTTAAATTACTTTAGCCTTTCAAACCCCATTGCATAGGAACACACACACACGCTCACTCCCATAAGCCTTGCTAAAGACATGCTTTATCTGCGTGTGTGTGTAAGTGCGGAATTATTTTGTATATGAAAATAAATAAACAAATAACTCCACAAAACAAAACTACTAAGGTTACCATGGCGCTCCGTCATCGCTAAACTGTTTGGCCAAACTTTCAGCCAAGCTATAGCGGGGGGAGGGGGTTATTTTTCCAACACGTACAGAAAACATGATTCCCAAAAAATGAAATTTATTATTTTTCCAAACTTTTGGCCTTTTTGATATATTTTATTTATTTATTTTTATTTTCTTCTCTTTTTCTTCCAGGTTATGAATGGATTGGCTGGCGCAATGATACAACCGGTCTCATGGGCAAACCTGTTGAAATAGTTTTCGAATTCGATACAGTGCGTAACTTTAGTGCAATTATTTTGCATACCAACAACATGTTCACCAAGGATGTGCAGGTGAGTTGAAATGACAATAAAACCTACTTAAAAAAATAAATAAATAAAATATATTTAAAAAAATACTATTTCTTTGGGTTCAGTGGATTATAAAAACATATGTCTTAATTTCAATGGTTTTGGATACAAACGACATTTCAAGGACCTCCCAAGATTTGCCTCAGGTCCTATAAAAAAAAACACTAAAAAGCTGGAAAATAAGCTCAGTGGACCCTGAAAAAAAAAAATAAAAAATATTCGCTTCAAAAATCTTAAAAATGGTTTGAAAATTATTTTTTTTTTAAATATTTGACGGCGTTAATAATTGTTCTGCGGTCCTTCAAAAAATCATAACCAAAATTTCAATATTCACTTATACCCTTGGTAATCAAAAATATTTAAAAACAAGTTAAAAAATATTAGTTCTTTGAATTTTGGTTTTGGGTTTAATATTCCTTTCAAGGACCTTGTAAGATCTGCCTCAGATCCTAAAAAAAAACACTAAAAAACTGCAATATAAACACAAAAGTCCCTGAAAAAAAATTAACTACTAGTGCTTCAAAAAATATTAAGAACTAATGTTATCCTTAAAAAATATTCCTTGAAAATTTTTTTTTTTTTAAACATTTGAAGAGGTGAATAATTCTTCTGGTCCTGTAAAAAATCGAAATAAAAATTTCACTCTTCACTTCACCTCCAGGTAATCTAAAATATCCAAAAAAAAAAAAAAACGATTTAAAAAGTATCAGTATTTTAGGGTTTAATGATTTTGCATTTAATATTCCTTCCAAGGACCTTTCAAGATTTGCCTCAAGTCCTGTAAAAAACAACACTAAAAAGCTTAAATTTAAGCTCAATGTTCCTTAAAAAAATTACAAACATTTAACTCCTAGTGCCTTAAAAAAATAAAAAAAATTTGATCCTTAAAAAAAATATTTTTTTCCTTCCCAGGACCTTCTAAGTTTTACCTCAGGTCCTATAAAAACACTAAAAAGCTGAAAAAAAAATAAAAATTGAACTCCTTGTCATTCAATAAATTAAAAAAATATATATTTGATCCTTAAAAAAATAGTTTTCAAAAAATATTTGGCGACGTTAATAATTGATCTGTTCTACAAAAATCGAAAATTATCTATTCACTTCACTTCCTTCATAAACCAAAAAACGAATTAAAACTTAGTCTTTCAGGGTTCAATTGTCTATATTTTTACATTTACATTTTTGGGTTCAATGGTTTTGGATTTAATAGTCCTTGCAAGGACCTTGCCTCTAGGTCTATATAAAACATTAAGAGGCTAAAAAAATTAAAATTGTGCCTCAAAAATTGTTAAAAAAATAATTTGATCCTTGAAAAAAATATTTTTTAAATAATATTTGATGGGGTTAATAATTTTTCAGAGGTCCTACAAAAAACCGAAATAGAAATTTCATAATTTACTTCATCGCCAAAATACCGAGTTAAAAAGTATCGGTAAAAGCGATAGGTTTTTGCCCTTTTAGAGAAATATTTACATATTCCAAGTTTGAAAAAATTGCAGACTTGTTTTGCAAGTTCTGACAGATATAAGCATTGAAAATTGTGACCCTTTGTGGGGGATGTTCCAGAAGGGGTATTCCAATATCTATAATCTTCACGAAAAATCTTGTGTGAGTAAAAATATTGAGATTTCCAAAATTTAAAGTCAGTCGGACTCTTTTTTCGCATTTTATGACCTTTTTCTTATTCCCTTTTTGGGGGGGAGGCATAAGAAGGGGTGGGCCAATCTATTCCACCTTCACTCTAGATCTTGTGTTGATAGAAATATTGGGATTTTTTTAAATTTGAAGAGAATTTGATGCTTATTTCATTTATTTAATGAGAGATTTAATTATTCGAACCTTTGACCCTTTGTGGGGGAGGTACCAAAGGGAGTAGTCTGACATATTTTATCTTCACATCAGATCTTGTGTTAATAGAAACATTGGGATTTGTGAAAGTTGATCAGTTCACATTTTATGAAAGTTATAATAATTCAAAATTTCGAACTGTTGTGGGGGAGGTACCAGAAGGAGTGATCCTATATCTACCATCTTCGCACTAGATCTTGTGTTGGTAGAAATATTGAGATATTCCGACATTGAGATGAAGAGAATCGGATGCTTATTTCCTATTATATGAGAGTCTTAATTATTCAGAAATTAGACCGTTTGTGGGGGAGGTACCAGAAGGATTGGTCCGTTCTATATATTCTTCATATCAGGTGTTGTGTTGGTAAAAATATAGGGATTCGTAAAATTTGAAGAGATTCGGATGCTAATTTCCCATTTTTTGGGAATTGCAACTATTAAAAATGTTGACCCCTTTATGGGGGAAGTACCAGAAGAAGTTTGTCGATACATTCCATCTTCTCAAAGGATGTCTTGAAGACAATCCAAATCTTATTTAGAATTTTTATAAGGATTTTAATTATTCAAAATTCCGACCTTTTGTAGGGGAGGTATGAAGATGTGGGCCCACATTGTCCACTTTCGCACTTGATCTAGAGCTCATTAAAATATTAGGATTTACAAAAATTTCACGGAATTGGATGATTTTTTTCTTTCCATGAGGTAAATTATTTTCAGTGGAAATTTTTAGGGGAGGTTACCAGAAGGTGTGGACCGATGTTGCCAATCTCTGAACTCGATCTAGGTGTGATAATTATATTACGGTGTACTAAGTTTGGAGTAAATTGGATACTCCCTTCGAGAGCTATTGTGGCGAACATCCAACCAGATAGCCAATAGACGGACGGACGGACAGCTTTAAATCGACTCCAAGTGTCCTGAAACGGATTTGGTCCAAAGAGACATATTGGCCGTATATTTACCCCCTGTAGACATATGGCTGAGGGTATAAAAATATGTATTTGTTTAAATCCTTGAAGAAATATTTTTAAAAAATCCACATTTGTTGATCCTTGAAAAATACCTTTTAAGAAAAAACCCCCAGATTTTTGGTCTTTGAAACAAGAATATATTTTTTTAAGAGTCCCGCTTCGTCCGGCCTTGGAAAAATGTTTTTTTTTAAATACCCTTTTTTGGTCCTTGAAACCAAAAAAATATTTTATAAAGAAGCATTTTTTTGGTCCTTGAAAAAAATATAAAAAAAAAATCTCCGTTTATTGGTCCCTGAAAACTGTTGTTCTTTAACAAATCATTTTTTTTTTAAATAAACCATTTTCTTGGTCCTTGTAAACGAAAATATATTTTGAGGAAACATTTTGTTTGATCCTTGAAAAAATTTTTTTTAAAAAATTCCTGTTTGTTGGTCCTTGAAAGCTGTTGTTCTTTAACAAAACTTATTTTTCAAATAAACCATTCTAGTCGATCCTTGAAAAACACTTTTTAGGAAAAAAATCCCATGTTATTTAGTCTTTGGATAAAAAAAAAAATAATTTTTAAGTTCTACATTCGGTGGTCCTTGAAATTATTATTTTTTTAAAAAAAAATCCCCTTTTGTTGGTCCTTGAAAACGAAAATATATTTTAAAGAAAACAATTTTTATTTGGCCCTTGAAAAAAAAAATATTTTTTTCTTTAAAACCATTGTTCTGTAATAAAATATATTTTTTTTAAAAATCATTTTTGTTGACCCTTGAAAAAAAATTAAACCCTTCAAGGAAGCAATTATTCTTTAATAAAATCTATTTTTTAAGAAAGCATTTCTGTTGATCCTTGAAAAACTTTTTTATAATAAGTCTATCTTTTTTGTTTTGAAATAAATTATTTTTTTATTTTAAGTCCTACGTCCGCTGGGCCTTAAAATAATGTACGCTTGTTGGTCCTTGAAAGCCGTTGTTATTTAATAAAATATATTTTCCTAAAGAAACTATTTTTTGTTTTTTTATTTTTGAAACTCCTCGTTTTTTAGTCCTTGAAAATTGTTGTTTTTTTTTCAACAAAATATATTTTTTAAAGAAACCTTTTTTTGGTCCTTGAAAATATATTTTTTTGATTACATATCTCATTTTTGGTTTATGGGTTTTATTTTCAAAATTTTATCTAAAATATATTATCTTCCTCTTTTTCCAGGTCTTTGTCCGTGCAAAGGTGTTCTTCAGCATTGGGGGACAACATTTCTCCGGTGAGCCAGTACACTTTTCCTATATGCCCGACACCATAATGGATCATGCACGCGATGTGACCATTAAGCTGCATCATCGGGTGGGCAAATATTTGAAAATTAATTTGTATTTTGCCGTCAAATGGATAATGCTGTCGGAGATATCGTTTATATCAGGTAAGACAATAATGACATTTAGGAATGTTTTTTTAAATGTAAAAATTTTAAGAGGAGTCAAAGAGTTTTATTTTAAAAAAAATATTTTTTTAAAAAAAATAACTATTTAAGGCAAATATTGAAAATTCATTGCTTTTCAGGACTCGGCTTATCCTTTTTAAATATTTTTTTTTTGTTTTTGCATTTGTATCTGCAGGGCCTGTCTAAGATACATCCTTTTTCAAACAATAATCCCAGTCGACTAATTTAATAAATTATCCGACATTTTTCCCAGAATAAAAAAACAAAGACAATTGAATCCTTTTTTATTCGGAAATCCCTTTTGTTGTCCGGTTCAATGTTTTTTTCTCTCTCTCTCTCTCGAAATTTCAATTCACGCAATTGCGTTTTAAAGTTTTTTTTTCCTCCATTGTTTTTGCCGTAAAAACAATGACCCAAAAGAACAAAACTTCAAATTTAAAACAATTGTGAAACCGGGCATGCTGCTCCTCTAAACCACTTAACATCCTTGCAAACAAAAGGAATTTTTAACGCCTATGTTTTTTTCATAAATTCTGTTTTGCGTTATCCTGCCTATGATTTATTATTAATGAGGAAATACCATAATTACGCACATTAAGTGCCAGACTCTGCTTTAAAGGACATTTACAATAAAGCCATTTCGAAAAAAAGGAGTTATTATTCAATTCATTTGTGTTGAAGCCCTTAAGGGAGAGGTAGGGGGAGCGCAGAATGGCCACAAAGGATTTGAGGGGTTGAAAGTGTCAGAAAGTTTTTGTTATGCCAGATTGCGTGTGAATGTGAAAAGCTTTCAAAAGCATTCATTCGGTCTCAAAAATACATAGATAAACAATTAAAGTTTTAAGTATAAAACAGAGAGCGGACAGGGGAAGGACGAACATTAATGGAAAGGGAGTTTAAATCCTTTGTGTTGAACAAAAATTCCGTCCACTTGAAGTCCTCCCCACCCCCATTGAAATATTTGTGGTTTTGAGGGAAAGATATGTTGGCCATAAAAGAAATTCCTAGCCATGCTTTTTTGTTTGTTCCACCATCTTCTTCTTCTTCTTCTCCTTAAGTAAGTAATTAAAGCCGTTTATTTTGAAAATATCTTGCACAGTTATGCCCGTTTAAATTTTTCAAAACATTCCTCGACATTCTCCCCCAGGCCAAGTGAGGCGTATCAGCTTTTCAGTTGTGAATTTATTGTGGGGTAATAGAAATCAATAGTAGATAATGCAATAATTTCAGGGCTGTCAGAGATGGGTGGGTGGTATTAAATTTCTAAAGCACCAGAATTGAAAATTAAATCAAAAATAGAATTTAAAAATTTTACCCAACAATTGACAATTTTATACATTTTTGACATATTTTATAGACTTAAGTCTCGTTTTTCCTTTGTTCCTAAAGATTTAAAATTATTTTTGACCCAAAATCTGCCAAAAAATTGGTTTACGACGTTTTTGACAATTTGTAAAAAACGTCAAAAATTTAAAATCTTGCTAGTTCTCATTATTCTGAAGTCTATTTAGCTCAAAATCTGTCTCAAAAAAGGTTTACGACATTTTTGACAAAATGTAAAAAAAAGTCAAAAATACGAAATTCAGCTATTTTTGTTGATTTTAAGGTCTATTTTGCTCGAGAGCATTTAAAAGGTTTACGACATTTTTGACAAAATGTAAAAAACTTAAAAAACATGAAATTCAGCTATTTTGATTGATTTAAAGGCCTATTCTGCTCGAAAACAAGCATTAAAAAGGTTTACGACGTTTTTGACAAAATGTAAAAAACGTCAAAAACTTTAAATTCAGCTATTTCTCTTGATTTTAAGGCAAATTTTTCTCGAAATCGGACATAAAAAAGGTTTACGACGTTTTTGACAAATTGTAGAAAACGTCAGAAATATAAAAAATTGTGATTTTGGGTACAATTGACTTTTAATTTTTAAACTTCTCAGTATTTTCAATGTTTTTGACACATTTTATACATTATTAAATGGCGTGAAATCCCATATTTCCATTGTTTTTCAGGATTTAAGCGTTTATTTGACTCAAATATGTCACCAAACAAGTTTACGACAGTTTTTGACAATTTGTAAAAAACGTCAAAAACATGAAATTCGGCTATTTTGGATGCTTTTATGGTCTATTCTGCTCGAAATCAGTTGTAAAAAAGGTTTACGACGTTTTTGACAAATTGTAAAAAAACGTCAAAAATGTAAAATATGCGATTTTGTTTACAATTTCCTTCTAATCTTTCAACTTTACAATATTCAAATAAATTTCCTACGTTTTTGACAAATGTTCTACACAGTAAAATTGTCTAAAATTCCATATTTGCATTGTTCTTCAGGATTTAAGCCTTTATTTGACTCAAATATGTCACCAAACAGGTTTATGATATTTTTGACAATTTGTGAAAAACGTCAAAAACATGAAACATGTGTATTTTGGATGATGCCAAGGTCTATTTTTTCGAAATCAGTCATAAAAAAGGTTTACGACGTTTTTGACAAATTGTAAAAAACGTCATTTTTCCTACATTTTTTGCACATTTTATACATCTTTAAATTATCTGAAAGCCTGTTTTCCATTGTTTTTAAGGATTTAAGCCTTTATTTAATTCAAAATTTGTCACAAAATAGGTTTACGACGTTTTTGACAATTTGTACAAAATTCCAAAAACAATAAATTCTTCTATTTTGATTGATTTTGGAGTCTATTATGCTCGAAATCTGGATTAATACGTAAACCTGTATTAATCCAGATTTCGAGCAACATTTCGACATTTTTGACAACTTGTACAAAATGTCAAAAACATAAAATTCGATTATTTTGAATGATTTTAGAATCTATTTTGCTCGAAATTCGGCGTAATACAGGTATACGACATATTTGATAATTTGTAAAAATGTCTAAAACATACAATTTTACTATTTTAGATGAAATTTTGTAACCAAACCCTGAAAAAGATTATTTTTTACAACATTTTGACGTTTTTGACAATTTTTATACATTGTATACTAGACGGAATTTTTAAAAATTCATATATCTGAAAGATTTTCGTTGTTATTTTGCTAAAAATCTAGCCAGAAAATAGTTTACGACATTTTTGACAATTTTGTATAAAACGTTAAAAACACAAAATTCCACTTTTTTCAACCATATTTATAGCGAAACTTTACAATATGGAATGCTAACATCATTTTTATGACCTTTTAGACACCATGTATAAAATGTATAATACTAAAAAATTATTTACAAACATACATTTTTACAAAATTTTGACATTTTTGACACGATTTATACTAAGTAGAATTTTTTGTAATTTCAAAATGTAATTCATACTAACGATTTTTGTACTTATTTTCCTCAACATTCGAGTTAAAAATGGTTTACGACGTTTTTGACAATCTTGTATAAAACGTCAAAAACATGAAATTCGACCATTTTAAGTCATGTCCACACTTAAACTATTCAGTTTAGAGCCTATTTACTCAAAATATGAGTTTAAAATGGTTTGCGACGTTTTTGACAATTTTGTATAAAATGTCAAAATCTTGAAATTTGAGCATTTTCAGTCATGTTTATACCTAAACTGTTCAATACATAGTGCCTATGTACTCAAATTTGAGTTTAAAATGGTTTACGACGTTTTTGACAATTTTGTATAAAACGTCAAAAACATGAAATTCGAAGATTTTAAGTCATGTACATTCTAAACTATTCGGTTTAAAGCCTATTTACTCAAATTATGAGTTTAAAATGGTTTACGACGTTTTTGACAATGTTGTATAAAACGTCAAAATCTTGAAATTTGAGCATTTTAAGTCATGTTTATACCAAAATATTCAATTTAGTGCCTATATACTCAAAACGTGAGTTTAAAATGGTTTACGACGTTTTTGACAATTTTGTATAAAACGTTAGAAACATGAAATTCTAACATTTTAAGTTATTTTTATACCTCAACTATTGAATTTAGTGTCTATTTACTCAAAATATGAATTTTACATGGTTTACGACAATTTTGTATAAAACGTCAAAACAACAAATTCGAACATTTTAAGTCATTTCCATTCTTAAACTATTCAGTTTTGAGTCTATTTACTCAGATGAGAGTTTTAAATGGTTTACGACGTTTTTGACAATTTTGTATAAAACGTCAAAATCTTGAAATTTGTGCATTTTAAGTCATGTTTATACCTAAAATTTTCAATTGTGTGCCTATTTACTCAGACTATGAGTTTAAAATAGTTTACGACGTTTTTGACAATTTTGTGTAAAACGTAAAAAAATTGAAATTTGAGCATTTTAAGTCATTTCCATACCTAAACTATTCAGTTTTGGGCCTATTTACTCAGATATGAGTTATAAATGGTTTACGACGTTTTTGACAATTTTGTATAAAACGTCAAAAATATGAAATTCGAACATTTTAAGTCATTTCCGTTCCTAAACTATTCAGTTTTGAGCCTATTTACTCAAATATGAGTTTAAAATGGTTTACGACGTTTTTGATAATATTGTATAAAACGTCAAAAAATATTTGAGCATTTTAAGACATGTCGATACATAAAATATTCAATTTAGTGCCTATTTACTCAAAGTATGAGTTTAAAATTGTTTTTGACGTTTTTGACAATTTTGTATAAAACGTCAAAAACATGAAATTTGAGCATTTTAAGTCATTTCCATACCTAAATTATTCAGTTTTGGGCCTATTTACTCAGATATGAGTTTTAAATGGTTTACGACGTTTTTGACAATTATGTATAAAACGTCAAAAACATGCAATTCGAAGATTTTAAGTCATGTCCATTCCTAAACTATTCGGTTTAGACCCTATTTACTCAAATTATGAGTTTAAAATGGTTTACGACGTTTTTGACAATTTTGTATAAAACGTCAAAAAACATAAATTCCAACATTTTAAGTCATGTCCACACTTAATCTATTCATTTTAGAGCCTATTTACTCAAAATGTGAGTTTAAAATGGT